GACTTCCTGAAACCATGCTAGTAAGCCTGTGAAAGAAAGGTCAAACTAAATGTGTAGTATATCAAGATTAGTGGAAGAGGAAACCAAGTTAGAATGCTGAGTCCATTTTCGGGTTGGGAATGTATGTCTAGGTACATTATTGATTTACAGTGTCAGGGAGACTATTTCAACTAGTGGGGATTCCATTGCCAGCAACAACTAAACACAATCCATATTCTTTAATATAAGTGCATAACTTGGGTACTAGGGTAGGAGTTAATTCTATGTTAAAACAAACAATGTGAGCGAAGAAATATTTCTTTCCAGTTAGTTCCTCATCAATGGCCCTACACTAATATAGCATTTTCAAACGTAAAATTACATAACAATCTAGTGGTGAGAGTTGTTCAATGAAAGGTTATCAATCTCAAAGTATCAAGAAGGTGATAATTGATCAGGTAATTAAGACAGTTAACTAAAGCAAAGATTAATTATCGTAGAAAGATTTTGTGAACAGGTTCTTACATAATTGATATTTTATATAATGATAACTAAAGAGCGAAAATGAACTGTTACGTAAAATGGTAAATTGTTGACGGTAATTAGAGACAGTAGTGGGAGAGAAAGATGGTTAAGTCTGTAATAATAATAATAATAATAATAATAATAATGGAGCTATTAAAATATTAGTTATAGTGAATTGTGTGGTGGATGAAATGAAGAGTCTTGTTGTAATAAATGAGCTATACAGATGGCCAAGGCAAAGAAAGAGGCTGTACGAATCTCTTCTGAACACACAGACGGCTTGTGCAGGTGGATTCCTATGGCTTCTGTTGTATGTAAAAGACGAAGTCGTAGAGGATGGGTGAGGTGAGAAGGAATGTGATAAATAACTTTAAAGGCATTATGAATGTTAACTTGGTGGCCAGTGTCAATGAGATGAGAGAGTATTGAGCTTCGTATCAATCTGGTTTCCCCCTTACTTAGCCATGAAGGATGATGCTCGGTGATTCGACGACGGGCTTGCCTAACTGTACGTTCAATGTAACTAGCTCCACAGGAGCAGTTGAACTGGTAAATGCACATAGAAGAGGAGAAGTCAGGGAGTCTGTCTTTAGTTCATGTGGTCAGATTTGTGATATAGTATTATCTACTTAATGAAGTTTCAAGCATGAATTATTATCTCTCATAATCATATCTATGTGATCACATCACTTTCTGCACCTGATATTCTTTGTTTTTATTGGTAGGGAAATTTTCCATATCTCTGGTGTAGGTGTTGCATCATTCCCATTACGTGTGTTGGGTGTAGATTCGATGAAGAAAGATTCAGTAATCAATCTCTCTCAATCTGCATCTAATTATATTGGAATTAAGTACATTGATTGTGTACCAATGCATACATTGCAGTAACCAAGTTGTTTTCTAGATTACTGATCTTATTTGGGCATGTCATTCCATATATTTATCTAAATTCATATGTTCCGTTATTCTAACTGACCCCGACTGTCTGGTTTGACCTATGTACTTGACCTCATAGTCATTACACAGAATTCGATAAATTAGATTATTTTTCTGAATTGATTGTATTGGATCCTTAAACCAGCCGATAAAGCCTATCTCTGAGTGAGTTTGTAGGTTTAAATGCCACCTAATTCGAGCTTTGTTGAGGATGTTGCGTAGTGTTTCTGATACTTTTTTTTATATATGATAACACAGTGGAGGCTGTGAGCTGTTTACTACTCGTGTCGTCACTACTATTCATATTCGTGTTACTGTTATCATTGTGTTATCATGGTAGCCGGATAATGATTGATTATTAACGTCTCTTTTATGTTTCAGTTCCTTACCTAAGTCTTTACAATGAATGGTGAATTGTTTAGCTCTACTACTTTACTTTTGACCAAACTCGCCCTAACTGACATTGGATGATATGACTTGAGGTATGAATACCTGTTAGAATGTGTGGTTTCCTGTAGACAGTAGTATCCCAATCACTGTCTCTCCTTCGTTTTATTCTGCAATTCAAAATAAGTAATACTTCTTATTGATTTTCTACCTTACAATAGCCTTGTTTTGATAGTATTGACGAGTAGTTGCTAGGAGTGGAATTCAGGACATGCGTTGCCTCTTAGTTGGGATTCACTTGACACCTGTAAGTTCCTGCCTTCTAATGAGTGACATTTTCCTCAATAAGACTCAAACTCAACAGTTCTTCATGATACTTCAAATTTTCCGAATGTCTTCAGTACATGCGGTATTATTTCTATTGCGTATGTTAGACGTTAATTCAATGAATAACGATTCAGTAATCAGTCTCTGTTTCTATAAACCTGCATTGCATTTTATAACTGCAATCCTATCTCGCCCTATAGTATGGTGAGTCAGTTTATGCAGAACGATAGCTGACCTATTCTCTGTATCGTTAATCTTGATGCAATCCATAATCGTTAAATTTTTGTTCTCCACAAACCTGAATGACACCGATTGGATACAGTCACCTATGCACTTGATTTCAAAACTATTACATGATATTTGATATATTATCGTTTGACTATATGAGATAGCCGTAGTTTAGCAGACTAGTATTTATACTGGGTGATAATTGAAGATGAGATGAAAATCTTGACCTCAACCGGACTCGAACCAGTGACCACCGGTTATCTCAATAAATTGGGTCTACAGGATAGTTTAGCTTACAAAACTTTTTTCTGAGCATGTTTGTGAGTCTAGACATCACCCTTAATCCAGGATTTTCAAGAATCCTACGTAGACTTTCCAATACCCCTTCTTCATACTAAGTTTTTGACGCATACTTCATATTTACAGGTGATAGTGTAGTAGAAATAAACAAATGTATATGTACTTACACGTAGTCCGTATACTGATTACTCTGTTTGGGGTGATGTTTCTAAAACACTCAATCTGCAGGCGAAATCGATTCATGAATAAGAACAAAACATGTATCAGCAAAGAAGAAATATTTCTTTTCAACGACTTCATTATAAAGCTGTATAGTCGTATTTATACTCGGTAAACTGAGAGAGATTAAAGGATGAGCTGGATTCAAAACTACGACTCGAATAGGCTGGTTGGATTCAGGAAGTACAAATCGTGTGCGGACCAAATTGAAACGCTGCGCATCATCATAGAACAGAGCATAGTATGGCAGTCAACCCTCTACCTCAACTTCATCGATTTTGAAAAGGCTTTCGACAGCGTCGATCGAGAAGTAATTTACCAGACAGTTGCTTCAACACTAAGGAATAACGCAAACCTTTATCAATCTCATTCAACAACTACATGAAGATGCCAAATGCCAAGTGATCCACAATGGGAAGCTCAATGATGCCTTTGAAGTGAAGACAGGAGTAAAACAAGGCTGACGTCTACTATCACTCATGATATTCCTGATTGTAGTGGAATGGATCATGCAACAAACAGTGAGGAGCTATGAGAAGAGGGGATACGCTGGACCACGGAAAAGAACCTAGAAGACTTGGATTTCGCCAACGATGACTTGTGTCTGATGTCTTGTCGCACAAACTTGAAGATCTACAGGCGAAAAGTAAGGAGTTGACAGAAGGGCAGGGCAGGGCAGGGCAGCGAAGACGGGACTTCAAGTGAACGTAGAGAAAACGGAGGTGATGAAGATACCCAACCAACACCACCACCACCACCACCAACAACAACAACAGTAACAGAAAGCTCCAATGACCATCAACGGGAGAAACTTAAATGAAGTAGCCTCCTTCACCTATCTAGGCAGCACTGTTTCAGCTGCAGGCAGCACAGGCATAGACGAGGATATCAAAGTCAGAATCGGAAAAGGAAGACAGGCAGGCATTCATTAACCTGAAAGCAGTGTGGAGATCCTCCGCACTCCACTCAGCATAAAGTGTGAACAAGATCCGGATTTTCAACACTCATTCAGTCAAATCAGTGCTTCTGTATGGTTGAGAGTCTTGGCGCGTTACGAAAGGGATTTCCAACAAACCACAGACATTCATCAACAACTGCCTACACTGGCTCGGTACTGAAGCTCAGATGGCTAGAACAATGAGAATAAGCAACAAGGAATTATGGTCGGTGATGAAGCAAAGACACAAGAACCTATCACTGAACAAATATGCATAAGAGTGTGGAAGTGGAGATGGATTGGGCATGCACTGATGAGACCATTCGGAGACATCATGCTGCAGGCACTCGAGTGGAACCCAGATGGAAAACGACGAGTTGGGCGTTGGTGGCGAGGAACACATGGAAGAGATCATGTGAGGAGGAGATGGGAGCTTGTGGGCAGTCATGAAGCCAGGTTTTGAAGATTGCAGAGAACAGAGTGTACTGGTGACGTGCTACTGAAGCCGTATGTTCCATTATGAACCCAAGGGATAAATAATAGTAGTATAATAGTGGAATCCAAGACGCATGTTTCGTCTTATTTAGGACTCGTAAGCTGGGTGCATTTGACCCTAGGAAGTGGTGTTGTTCCCAGGGGAATTTGAAACCTAGTACCTATTGCTTCAAATGCCAGTGCGCTATCCAATAGGCCATTGCGGTACGAGGGTTAGGTATCAAGGATCATAAATACTACTTTAGTTACTGAAATGTATCCTACCTGGTTCGTTAGTTGCAAATAGAAGCAAAGAGTTGTCTAGATTATAGTGACTTTTTTTATAAGAATCACTCTAGCATCTTTTTTCTACATTTCAGATAAGAAAAACAGCACATTTTCTCTAGTTTTTGTAAATATGAGACAGTGGTCGTTTTTAGACAATAAATCAGCTCTTATTCGTGTATGTTAGGGCTTAGTTTCCGAGTTGAATTGATGCATAAAATCTGACTATCTGTTTACTTGTGTGTATGTTGGTTGTTATTCAGTCCATAGGTGTAGGCGAAGAGACTGTTTGTTAACTGGTGCATTTTATGTGTGCATATAATAACATGTACAAAGAGACAACAGACTTGGTCATATCTTACCAGTGAAGGGCACTTGTGATGTAATATGTAGGTGTGCACACACACACACACACATGGAGAGATACGCATTCGAACTAATCTCTCATGTAAACTCTTAGCATATATGATAATGTAAAAATGGTATAAATTTTCAGTTCATATGAGGTAATAATATGCATATGCATAACATGGTGGAATCGTTGTATACCTCAACTGATTGTTTCATAATTGTTTGCTTTAAACTAATGTCAACATGACAAATGCCTCAGTCATCGTTGACTGACACTGAACAGTTGGAGTTTCCTTGTTCACACTGAACTTTTGTAACATTGAAGGAAGCATGAATGAATCATAATGGAATGACTGGTTAATTCATTTATTTCCATTACAAATAACAATGAATTATTCATTGAATTTATTCATTCAATTAATTCTCATTTCACAATGGATTTACTATTCATTGAGTCAATTGAATTATTGCTTGAAATCTATTGGATGTCAACATGATGAGTGCTGCTATAATATTGTACCAAAAACTGGTCCTGTTTGTGATCCAATACCTGGATGTGCTGCTTATTTTCGACCGGAATGCTGTAGAAATGCTAGACCATTACATACAGATTATGGAATTATGTATGGTTATGCAATTTCATTGGATAATGAATATGGTTATCAAGAGAATGCAAGGAGATATATTCAAGTAAGATTATCTTGTTAAAAAAGTATTCAGATTGATTTGGATTAGCAAAAGAAAAGACTAAACTGAGCAGCCGATGTGATTAGGATGAAAAGACAGTTATGCATCCTGAAGTGAAATCAAGATCTGGTTAGCAACTGAATCTCGTAGTCGGTAAAACGATTCCCTCCGTGACCCAGATTTTCATTTCACCTTCAATCATACCTCAACATCAGTGATACCAGTCGGCTAAAATACGGCTATCTCAGAGTCACAGTGAAAAAGTTAACCTAACAGTCCAAAGCATAGATTTTTGTCCATGAAAATTGTCCCTTCAGTAAGTACAGCACTCCTATCCCCCATTCTAACAAAACCAAAATTATCTATTAGTTAAGTCTAGATAAATTATTTCCCAACTGAGATTTTATTAAGATTTATGGATAGTTAGGATTTGCAACCCCCAAGTACCAATTTTAAGAACAGCTTGAATGTTGTTTAGGCTTTGAAGTATAGCGCTATCTACACATTATATTGTACACAACCTACATAGTAATTTATAGAAGGGATGAAAAATCTCTACGGTCATATGACATTCACTGATGAGACAAATTTTACAGTCTGATTTATTGTTATTAAATTTTCCCTCCCTTTGAGCGTAAACCTGTAGTTCCAGCACCAGTTTAATATGTGAATGCTTATTATGTGAAGAGTGTACTGCACAAAAATGCTCTCCGCCTTACTATATGACTGTGAAAAATGGATATAGAATTCGGTGAATGTGCTACGCCTTCCAGTCACCGACCACCTCTGCCTTTGTTAGTCATACAGATAATTCGTTGTCTCAGGTGACAAGTACGTGCTCTAAGAGTACTTATCCATTGTCTAAGTATGGGTTTACATTAGCGGGAGTACAGTTAGGTTTGGAAATAGAAAGAATTCGCTAACAGATGTTACAAACTATGCAGGAAAGTTCATGCCTCCTAGCTGTGGCTTATTTCAAACAGTTAAATTCCATGGTTGGAGATTCTATATCTCATGATTCAAAGTCGTTTGTAGTGCGACAGCTGCATCCAATTCCATATCTTTGTGGAAATATGTGGAATACCACATTTTGGCATTCTTCTTTATCTACTTCTCTATTTGACTTATATCTTCTTACAGCTGCTATTATCATTATATTCCCCATATATTTCCTTTTGTTAACTTCTGCTTTGACGTGCTTAACATTATTTCGAGCACAGCGATAAATTTTTTATTTTGTCATAGATTTATGCATATTTGGTTGTCGTATCGTGTTTATAGTACCGTTACTTTCAAAACAAGGAAAATTATTCGATTAACTTCAATGATTCAGTCTTTGTGCTGTGTTACAAAATGTTTTGCAATAGTTTTGTTAGTTACGATGCATGTTTTAACCCATAGTTTGAGCACATTAATTCAAAGTCTATCGAATCAGCTTCACCTTAATGACAAATTCTTATGGTGCAATGTGTTTTCATTTTAGGCGTTAGGAGTCAACTGACAGGAAATACTGCTTGATATAGATTTTGCACCTATCAGAGCCTATCAGCATAGTGAACTTCCAGCTCTGAAGGAAAGCGTGTTCTGTCAACGGTTTGAATCTGTAGAACATGGTGTTTAAGCTATAGGCCTTGCTGCAAAAAACCACTAAATTCATTATCAATACCATTGCAGAGCTGAAATATGTACACATACTAGTCACTGGAGAGTATGTGATGAAGGGACATGACTTGGAAAATATTTTTTTTTGTTTTCCATGTTGACATAAGAATAAAATTTAGGCGAAACAACTGACTCTTATCTACATAAATTTAGGATCGTTAGTATCCCGGTTAGGTTTCATAGAAATAAGCAACACATACTGGACAGCCTGTTGACTGAATGGTGGGGGTTTCCCTTATTCAACTAGATTAAGCTAATAGCAATAACACTAGCAATAGCAATAACACTGGTGCATGGATTTCAAGCATCATCATATCTATCAAGATCGACTACCGGAAAGTACCTTCATTCCATCAAAACTGCCAACCGAACTCCATCTATAAACCTCGAAATTAGACGGTTACTCTATTTTGGTAACTGTTGCTGGTAGATTACCAGGTTTCCTGCCTGTCAGAACTAGTTAGGAAGGCACATTTACTACCTCAGGAAACTTATTCAAACTAGTCTTATCCAAAATGAAAGTTATCATTGAGATGCTGGAGTTGCAAGTAACCCTCTCCAGAAGTGAATTAAATCCACTGGTCAGCTGATAGGTAGTGATTAGAAAAGCTGCTAGCTAGGGGATGCAGTTGAGGTTGTTTGAGTTGGATAGCTCACCTAATTTCACTCGACGCAAAGAACAGGCCTAACTGCTAGTTGTCAACATACTCGAAATTTAGGTCAATAAGAAATTCACATTGATCGTTAGGAACCTTGCAAATTCAATATATAAAAATCACATTGTGTTCGTTTGTAACTGACCTAGAAAATAAAGAACTCAATTCTTGGGGGAAAAACCTCATCACGGATTGAAATCACAAAGTATTCTGTTATTGAGTTAAAGATACATTTCTGTTCTCCGTTTGCTAACCAGGTTGAGTAGCTTTTACGACCACGTTTAACATTCGGACGCATAGTATGGTCGATGTACTCATTTCCTCCAACTACAACCATCTCTTTGTCCTGTCATTTGATCAAATGGATGTATTTTGCTGTTTAAAAAATAACAAGAACCGCGTGACCTTGAGAGAATCTCAGAAGGAACTATATTTCTTCTAACTGGCGTACCTAGGAATGGTAAACTCTCAATCATATTGAAGGTGTCTGTCACAAAAATCCAACATTCTTTCCAAATTATCTGCAAACAAAACCGCAGAATTTGAAGCGTTCCATTGTCCTTAATTCAAATAGGAATCTTATCACTTTGACCTAAATTTTGTGACGTGACTTCAAAAGTCGATGAATTCCATGCAAAGTTCAGTTCGAAAATCTAAAGATCGTACTGAGCAAACAGAGTTTCATTTGTCAAAGATACTGCGAAAAAGAGAGATAAATCATTTATTAGCAGGGAAGTATATTAGCAACTTAGCCTATCAGGTTCTATGATGCCCAGTTCATATGGCCTTTCTTCCCAAGATGCACAAATGAGGTATTCCACCTCGTCCAGCACTAGATATAATTAACTCTCCGTATCATTCAACCACGAAATGCCTTGTAGGAATACTTGAACCTGTAAAGAAGAAGCTGCTGAAGCATAATCTCCCTGATATACTTGATTGTGTTGATTCACCTGTCACTTTGACAGGTGAATAAATGATTCCATTGGATACTATGTACCATCTGCTTTTTATGTGATTTCATTCAATCCCATAACATAAATCTTGGAGTTCCAACTTACTACTTAAAAGAAGTTCTTCTTCGATGTATCTCTGAAGTATACTTCAGATTTAATCATGAAATCTCCAGGCAGATAGACGGTATGGGAATGGGTTCTCTACTACGACCTCTCTTAGCTGACTGGTTCGTGGCAGGCCTGGTAAACACCAATCAATGAACAACAATCAGTGGGTTTCGTATCTAAGAAAGATACAATGATGATGCTCTCATGGTTTATGGTGATAATATGACTTGCAAATCTACTTCATATCTTCAGCAATGCTACTGTCTTGGTTAAATCCGCTATAGAATCAGAATCATACTCAAAGTTCCGTTTTCGTGATTTTCAGTTTCATAATACAGATGATAATTCAATTCTTAGGTATATCTACAGAAATCCTATAAGAAGCGGAAAGTTTATTAATTTTTAAAGTTCAGTTCCTTAAAGTAGTAAGAAAAATCTTATCAACTTCCTTCCTTCAAGGATCAGGAAAATGTGTACTTAGAACACTTGATGGAGCACTGTAAGTTCTTTTGATGAAAGAACACAACTGAATGAACACATTTGGGGCCGAATAAGACTCTTTTGTTGACTTGTGAACTCAAGAATAACATTGCAACAGATATCTTAAAGAGATGACTATCAAGATCCTTAACTAGGACATACTTCACCTCTAACTTAGAGTTTTTTTCTCCTGCAAGAAAGGTTTCGGCCAATGTGTGAAAGACATGCTGACGCATTGAGTCACATCAGTATGTTTACAACAGTTTACTTGATTCTGTGAAGTTAAGAACATCGACCGTGTCATGAGTTCGCTTGTCGAACGTGCTCATAAACACTTCCCAGCCTGGTTAGCAAATGGGAAAACGTAAGCACACCTTCAGCTCAATAAAAGAACACTTTGTGAACTCAAGCCGTTCAGCTTCTTTTGAAAACTCATCCAAAATCCTCTACAGGGTATGATCATATGATCATCGAGGGAGTGAGATAGAGATATCTGGGCATAGGTGAAGCACTAGCCATTCAGGAGTTAAAACCAGAGTTGTGTCCTAGAAAGGTATGTCCAACCTTTGTTTTTACTGTAACCATCACAAAGCATTGACTATCATGGATCGAAATCAGTTGCAGAACCGTTAGAAACCTGAAAGTACTGACAAGATGTGTAAGACGCCACAGAAGTACCCACCAACTGATGTGAATCCATGAATAAAACTACTTTCAAATCAACGAATCCCCTTAGCACCACCAAATGAATTGCTTCCAGCGCTGATTATTGACCCGATTCAAGATGGATTTCTAAAACGTCTAGTGAAAAATCGCGGTCAGCCAAAACAAGAATGAGTTAGATCCCTGCCTTATTTTCCACCAATTTTTTAATTCCTCTGAAAGATTAATTTTTCATGAGCTACTAGGTTGTTGTGCCTGATAGTTCGAACTAGAACCTAGGCAACTGCAAATGAAACAAAATGTTGTGATTTATGATGTCAAAATAAGTTTATGCTTTGTTTGATCTAAAAGGCGTCACGCTTAGGTTCAAGAACTGCTGCGATGAATTCTTGTACGTAGGTGTATGAAATATCCTCTGGCAAAACAGCCTGGCTTAAACATATCAAGAAGGCGGATTTCAGACATCACCAATGAACTGATGAACCAAGTTATCGACAATTTTAGGATAGTTTCATTCACCAGCTGTCGGAATTGAGCAAAGCAGAGTAACCTGTAGCAGGTAAAGTCATATTGTTTCAGAGAATATGTGAACATTTGTTGAATAGGTAGATTCAGTATGTGTTACGCTAAACAATGTAGGCCGAATTAACATTAGATGGAAAAGAAGGTAGGTGCGGTTAGATCAAGACATGAAACAAGTCCATAAAGTTTGTATCTATCTATCTGAATCATGTAAGGAGGCGTAAACTGTTTTCCTGAGGTCCTTGAAGTATCAGGAATGAATGGTTAACAACTCTCAGAAGTATGATCTAGAACTGGCCATACTAGATCATGAGTTTTTATTCGTTATCATTTTCATGAGTTTTCACATTTCACTCTTACACTTTTATGAGGATTCTACACTGGTTTTTTTTGACTGGGTGTATGACTATTTCGTGTAAATTCTCGATGAAAACACTTTATTGTCTGAAAACAGTTTTTATCATGGATTGAAAGTAGTTGGAGAACCGTTAGAAACCTGACAGCACTGAAGAGCTGGATTCAAGACATCAGAGAAGTGGGCATCTGTAGATATCAATCCATGATTGAAACTACTTTCAAATCAACAAATCCGTCCAAACTACCAATAGAATTGCTTCCACAGCTGATAATTTACTTGATTCAAATGCTTTCTTCAAGTTCTAGTAAGAAATCAAAACCTTTACAGTCAACCAAACAGAAGTGAGCTGAATCACCACCAATGACATTCGAAGATGGTAGCACTATGTTGAACATTGACAGAATCGAAAAATAGTGGATCATAGGATCTTAATTCAACAGATGAACATTTTCACTCACTTTCATTGAGTTATTCTATATACATTCATATTCCTTTTCCATTTCTGTTTACTTCCTCTTTTTGTGATGGTGTGAAGTGTGGCATTTTGAACTAACGTAGTTTCATCAGGAGTCTACAGTAATTTATCTGCTTAGATGTATGACTGCTTCATAATGACATGAGAATGACCAACTCACAACTATAACTCTTTAAGAACTATTCCCAGAAAAGCAAAGTAGTAGGAGCTCTAATTTAAAGATAACTTACTATTTCAATAACTTTCAAGACAGAATAATGATCTGTGGAAGCAGTTTATCAAGAAGAGTTTCTCATTGCCTATCATCCACTTTATCCATAGGATAACTTACATTAAAAGCTCATAAATGATGGAAAATGAAAATTATCAGGCTTTATTTTATTGGTTTCACTGTAGTGTTATATATATATATATGTATATCAAAAGACTAGAAATTTATGAGTGAGATCTATCATTTGGCTGGTAGTACGTGACAGTATAAGGGTCAGATCAGAGCAGAATGGCTGTTTAATATTCTTCGGTTCAAAGTGATTCGCTTACTGATTACTAGTATTTATTTGTGGTATGATTTAAATCATCCAGGTCTACTAAATCACTAGTCTTAAGCAGGTCATATGGAAATATGTGCATGTATACATGTGGAATGCGTTCACTAATAAAATTATGCAGACAAGGGATGAATTGCATAACGAAATAAGCATATCTTGTAACGATGAAATTGTTTACATTCGTGTGATTGATTCAGTGAATGATGTATTCTTATAAGTACTAGTGGGGATGTGTTAGGTGAAGTCTTATGTCTGGAATATAACAATAAATGACAATAAAGACTGAAATGTTTAAATTATGGTGATGGTAAAACATGTGATGTAATAATACAGGTGTCAAACGAGTCTCGGAATATCCTCCATTCAGGTTAATATTTAGGCTAGTGACAAGTGATGAAAACATCTACATTTGAACATATCACTTAGGATTGAAGAATTTTTCGAATAATGTGGTTTAAATTCTGTTTTAAATATGTCAAATAAATGTCATACTATTGGTGAACAAAAGCTTAACTTAACCAAGATTACTAGATCATAATAAGATAAAGAATCTACAGAGAAGCTATAACTATGCATACACAATCATACAATAGGGTGAGATAGAGCAACAGTACTAGAAACGTAGATGAGTGAAAGGAGAGAGTGTTAACCGAATCTTTGCTCATTGGATCAACACCAAATATAAACATGTCTCAAAGATGTCGTGTAACATGATACTTGTATGGATTCGGTTTTGGCGTTTGTGAGGATTTGTTTGTTGACTTCAGGTTGGTATTCATCATGGACCAACATTAGTTGGAGAAACACTGGAAGTCTGGGAGTATTGGACAACTGTCTCATCTTAGTATGGACTCCTTAGCAGTGCGTACCCATGATACCAACACACCACAGATCGAACTCAGGACCTCCAGGTTCCGCAAGCAGCCCGTAACCATTTAGCCACTGGGCTGGAATCCACTGGTCCATATTTCCTACTCCTGTCAATTCACGATAAACAATGGTCTCCATCCAATCCTGTCGTCGTGTAACTGTCCTCATATCCTACTTGGTTGGCCCCACTGGTCACAGATTCTCATTAGAACTTCGGAAATCACCTCTCGAAATAAGTCATTAATGAGCGACTGATTAATTCAGTTTGGAGTTTGTTGGGATTAATTGATCTCAGATTGCCATTCATCATGAACTGATATCAGTTGGAGAAACAATGGAATCCTTGGAACACTGGACAGCTGTTTCGTCCTAGTATGGGACTCGTCAACAATGCGCACGAATGACCTTGCCAACCAATGATGAACAACCTGAAATCGACAATAAATCCCCATAAACTTCCAAAATGAATACTTTTCTTTATTTGTAGTTTAGATTGGAGGCTCAGTTATTTATGGTTTGATTTAAAGAACCCATGACACTTTTTTTATCCATCTCAGGGAATCGTAAACTGTTTGGTTACGTCATGAAAGATAAATAAAAAAGAAGAAATGCGTTTTATTGTTAGTAAGTTCAAAAGTCAAGTCGATGATTAGTTATTGTTAGATTTCCCTATTGAATACTGAAAAACTCTGAACATCTCATTTATTTATTGAATGATATATATTCACAGTTTAAAGCTGATACTTTTGATCGCCTATCCCCTTTTTATTACAGATCTGGAAGGGTGTACCTTATGCACGTCCACCAACACGAGAGAATAATTTAAGATTTCGTCGACCTGTTCCACCAACACTTTCTACGCAGAAATATGATGCCACATACTTTCGACCAGCTTGTTCTCAACCTAGTTTAAGTTCACAAAGCTCATTTATGGAATGGTCAAAATATCCACATGAATGGGTTAAAAGGTTTTCATTTCAACAAACAGATGAAGAAGTCTCAAATATCAGTGAAGATTGCCTTTACTTGAATGTATACAACTTAAAAGAAGTAGACACATCAATTACAAGTAACTTTAATGACAATCAGAAAAGATATCCAATAATTGTATTTCTTGATGGTGTAGATCATTTAGCTGGGTCAGCAAATCGTTATCCTGGACATGCACTAGCACAGCTGGGATTAGTTGTATTCACAGTCAACTATCGTCTAGGTCCTTTCGGTTATCTTGCCACGAAAATTCCGAGCTTACAAGAAGGAAACGATGAGGATAATGATGACATGTTATTGGGGAATTATGGACTGTGGGATCAGATAAGAGCTTTGGAGTTTATAAAAGAAAATGCAGACAAATTTTTTGGTGATCCTAATCAAGTAAGTATAGAATTCCTATATTCATAATGATGCTGAATTGACCTAAAAAGCTGATTGTAAGGAGGCTACTAAACTTCAAATCAGAAACTTCAGTTGTTTCACGTAAATTCCTGAGCAGATAGAGAGTACTAATGTGATGTTACGTTATGAAAAGTTTCTGATATCGGCCACTTTTTTAGAAACCAACCATCGATATTAATACAATACTTGTAAATGATCAACTTCAAGGTACATTTCTTAGATGTAGTACACATGAGAAGTCCTGATATGAATCAAGAAAGTGAAGTTGAATGTCCCTTGGTAACATTAGATGACAGTTGTTGAGTGAAGTCGGAAGTGCAGAGCGTTAGGTTTCAACCTAATGAATGAACATGACTTACCCTTTATAACAGCTAAATATCCTTAGTCAGCTGATGGGTGGTGTTAAGTCTATGCTTTAGCAAAATAGTTGTCCAGTGTCCATTTATGTAACTCTCACTCAACTGATGTGTAGAAAAATGTGATATTTAGTCTAGCACCTGAGGAATTATACTCAATACTGAATCCATCTTTTCTTGTCAGTAGTGGGTTCTTGGTAGCTTACTAACACATGAAACGCACTTGATACAATTAATTGACCGAATCAGCTTAAAATGTTTGTAATAAGGGTGAAAGTACTACGATGAATAGATTCGAAATTGTTGCATTTCAGTTTATTTACTTAAACACTATTTTAAACGCCGTTTGTAAGTTAAGTTGAACACCTTGAATCTTTATAGGTTAAACAAATGAAGCATATTTACTTTTTAAGAGAAGAATTAGATCAATCGTCCAAGAGATATAGGTAAGCTTAGAAATATTTATGGCTGGGATTCAGTCACTGAGTGTTCTGTGCCTGTAAGTAAGCCAAAATTCTTCAAAGTTAATCGCTTAACTTCTGTGCAGACAGTGATTTAACCAAACTGTTGGTAAGATCTTTCTGTATAAGTAAAATTCTATCTTTAATTTGTGTTATCCTGATTCACTTTAGAGATTTTCAGGTCAACAATTGTTTGTTAAGAGTTGTCAATATGGTCGCCATCAGCTAGGTAACAATTAAAACAACCAGTGAGCATTAGCTAATTGTTTTGTCCTACCTGGGGCACCACGGCAGTATGCAATGAAGATCCCATGAGGGATAGAATTCTAGTCTGTCAGGTTTTGTGGTGAGTGAATTACCCTCTAACCATCTGACTGAAATCCAGTGAAGCATGTTTTTAACCCCCTAGCTTTCAGTGATTCTATAACTAATATCTATCCATGGAGAAAATCCCTTTGAAATAACTAAATTTCCCAGTAGTCATAGGTGACTAACGTCTAGATGGATTTCCTAAAGTTCTAGTGAGAAGCTAAGGCTTTTGGGGGTTAACAGGGTCAGAAGTGAGGACCCCTCACCGGTGACCTCCAACAGTACCACGCTATACTGCAAGTAGACAGAAGTCATAGACATGATTCATTTAATTTCGACTTGGTGGTTTCAGTAGTAATGTACTCAAAAATGCATCCAACTGTCCTCCGTTTTTTATCCTTTGGAACTTCACTTTCACTGACTCCCAGACAATGACAAAGAAGCTGTCTATTGCGAACTGGTTTTCATTTCGTTTTCTAGCTGATACAATCTTTAGTGAAAATAACTTTGAAAAAGTCACCATAGTATGAGACTGATGTTTCACGTATGCATCTCATTAGTATTTGCATATTAACAAACATAAGACATAGAGTGAGAAATACTATTTTGTGACTCACCTTAATGAACTTGAAAAATTGGAACAATCCAATTCTTATTTACTTATACAATAAAGATAACAGAACACTTAGTCATTCATTAACTCGAAATAAGAATTACCAAAGTTCACTGAAAAATAGAATATAGTGTAATCAATAACTCTTACCTTGTTTAGCATAGATTAAGTTGTTGTGTATCGAATTTTCGAGCTTACACACATATTTCAAGTTGTTATTCATCGAAGACTGACATCAGTTGGAGGAACAAAGGAAATCTGGGAGCACTGGACAGCTGTTTCGTCCTAGTATGGGACTCCTCAGCAGTGCGCACCCACGACCCCACCAGCAGGGATCGAACCCGCGACCTTCAGGTGCCCTCGCCAGCGCGTTACCATGAGCTAGCCCCTGGGTCAGAATCCAAGGCTCCATATTTCCAACTTCTGTTAGCTCACGCACGTATTGTTAATGTACAGACAAGTGACTTTTTCTATATGAACCAATAAATGAAGTAGAGAATGAACTTATGTAATATTTGTAACCTCAGGTAGCCTAATCTATAATCAGTATGATGCTTCTTTCCTTTAATTCAACCCGATTAGGATTGGAATGACGAAACATACCTTGACAGCCACTGTGATTACGATGAATGGACAGTTGGGTATCATGTAATCATTTGATAGCTGGGTAAAGTATTGAGTGATTGAAGTGCAGTGAAGACATGGTCAGTAACTGAATTGAGTACCTAGCCGGTAATTCGGACAATACTGACTTGAATCCTGTCACGATCAAGGTTTACATTTTAACTCTAAAAATAACCCACTGTCACGACACATAAATGAATAACTTTAGTGATAGTACTTGACACTATCATTCATTCTAATGGTATTGTGTTTTCTGAGCTGAATGGTTTAATCGTTATGCTTTCATTGTCATTCTAAACAACATCATCATTACAAGCTTCAGAAAGAAGTCATTCCTTCATACTTCACAAGCGGGACACCCAACGATGTGTCATATTTCTTATTGACGAGTAAAATGATCAATGAAGAAAACTATTCTGCCTAATGCATTATGAATGACGTTTATTCAACTTAACTATTTCTTAGGGCTAAGTGTTAGTTTATGCTGAGGAGAGTATTAAACTTAAAGGCCAGAATGAGAAGGATACGAGTGAATAGAAATGAACAGTTTCGGAATTGATCTTCAGAGTCAACATGTTCAGGCCAAAATACATGTGAGTGTAAAACTTGGGCACTGTGGTAGAATGTAATTCCATATTAGATTTGTTTATTTGATATGTAGCGCACAGTGATGCAGTATTATTTACTTGATTACGTTTCGAGCATAAATTATTGCTCATAAATTACAGAGCTGAGAAACTCACTAGTCATTGTAAGGACTTAAATAAGAAATTGAAACGCACAAGGAAAGCGTTAATAACTAATAATTGTCCCCATCATTTTATTAAGAAATTCACATAAACACATAAGAAGCAAAATAATAACAATAATACAAATACAAATAATAGCGACAACATAAGTAGAAAGGAAATCAACACCCCTATTGTGATACCATACAAGGAACATCAGAAACCATACGTAGAATTCTCAACAAGGTTGGAATTAGGGTGGCATTTAAACCAACAAACTCACTTAGAGGTAAGCTTTGTCGGTTAAAAGATCCGATAGAACCAATTAGGCAATAACTGTGAGGTCAAATATATAGGTCAAACTAGCCGTTCGGGATCAGTTAAATTAGCAGAACATAGCAATTTAACTAAACATAGAAGGACAGACCCCAATAAGATCAATAATCTAGAAAAACACTCAGCCATTGCATTACATTCATTAACACACAATCACACAATAGGGTGGGACAAAACCACTGTACTTAAGTCTAATATAGTTAGGTGGAGAGAGAGATTAATTGCTGAATCTTTCTTCATTGAATCCACACCCAACACATGTAATAGGAGTGACGCAACACCTATACCAGAGATATGGAAAACTTTACTACCAATCAAAAACAAAAAACAAAGAGAGATCAGGTGATAGGACTATAAAATCAGATATCGAAAGAAGTGTGATTACATTGATTGAATATGAGCAGTAATAATTTATGCTCGAAACGTAATGAAGTAAATAATACTGTATCACTGTGCGCTATATATCAAATAAACAAATCTAATACAAAATACATGTGACCTCTTTTTTTAAATATTGTCCGTTAGTCAAGCGGGACAATTGTATAATGTCTCCTATTGGATGAAACCAGGGATTGGAAATTGGTACATTTCAATGCAAAGTTCTTCCGGAAAGAATCAAAAGGATGGAACATTAGATTGCTATTTCTCTAGTTCATAAAGGATCTCATTAGTACTACACTTTAGACTAGCTAACTCCAGACATCTGAATGGTTAAGTTATTCAAGTTCCAACCACGTAATTAGCGACCATCAAAGTAAAGGCTTGTTAGATTGATAGTCTAAGGGTAGCATCATTGAAACTGTTAAATCCGCAATTTTTTTAGTCGTATTATTGTGTTCGTATTTGTTATTTGCCTATGATTTTGAATTATGTGAGATGTTAATTGCTATAAGTGTTGTTAAAATCTGGTGTCAAGTATGAGATAATCAACAAAGCATATCAATAAACCATGAGGGAAATCGTGTTTTCTTGGGGACTTAAACATGTGTCCCTCAAAGTTAAAAACCCTCTAGAGAGATTTCAAGGTCAAAATTAGTTTACGTATAATGTGTATGTTAGAGTGTCTTCTTAGTTTTTTGTCAGAATGAGGGGATGTTACATAAGTTCAGTGATATAAAGGCTTTCTTTGTCATTCTATTCTCTTGAAGTTGCATACTCTGCTTTCAAACATAGTTTATTCATAGTCAGTACATTATAAGTGAACCAGAGTCAAAGTATTCTGAAACGTATTTGTTTCGCAGTTTAAACACGAATAAGATTGTTTAGACATACAATAATGTTAGTAAATTAGTAATGGATAAGGTTAACGAATAAAATTTCAGTAAAATGAAAAAAAAAATGGGATATAAAGATAAATAGGAAGCACAAAGCATGCGGACTATAGAGTTGTTTACTGTTCATCACAACAAGCTACTTGTCCAGGTTTTATAGTCTTACTGACTAGTTTTAATCTAGCACCATGATGTACCTTTCCAGTTCTATCATTCAAAAACCTGTCAGTCAAAAGTATGTGGAATAACTTGATTAGAGATAAAACTCTTATTAATTACATTGGGAAATTTTCTAAGGTACCGATAGTTTATATGATATTATTGTTATCGTATATTTAGATGATGTTACTGTAGGCTTTAGGATGGTCTATCGTCGTGAATATTCCTTCTGACTTGTTCATTACAGGTTTTTTTGCACATAAAGCTCTTCTGATAACGAGTTAGTCCATTAAGTGTACACAACTTGAAGCAACTTGTCAGTGGCATAGCCTAAGTTCACAACAGAGTACGCTTTTGCTATCATTTCTGGCTCATACTTGTATTTATGTGCTCATATAGAAAAAAGGGTTTGCCAACAACCAGTAGTTCCCGTGAACATTTATTATCAAAAGGAATCTGTAATACTGAGGAACCTAATCACACTCAGAAATCATATCATAAGGATGCTTGGACCAGAAATGATTCTTACCGACAATCCTTGGACATCTTCAATAAAGCAGAAGTGTGTTACGGCGTTACCCATTTAGGGACTGGGTCAGTTATATGTGAATAATACTCTTCAAAAGACATATAATGTGGTCGTTTAACTAGAAACTGTAACCATGTTTTATTAGCTCTTAGCATCTGATAGAGATGGGGCATTTCTATCAATGGAAACAGCTTAGTATAGATTAAATTCGTTTACTGTTTAAGTACACTGATATATGCTGTAAACTACAAATTAATCATGAATTCACTTGAAATAGACTGTTCCTTTATCCTGACTTAAAACACCTGTAACATCTCTTTGTATTACAACACATCATAAATTTTTCCCTCCCCTAAGATTACCCTTATTGGTCATGGTTCAGCTGCAGCTGATGTTGCGCTTCATTTGCTATCTGAAAAATCGGGTCGTAGAAGTCCACCATTATTTCATCGTGCTGTTCTAATGTCTGGATCAGATCAAATGGAAGGAGGTTTTGTACAAAGTGTGGAGGAATCAGAGGCATATGCTAAACAGTTTGCTTATCAGGTGACATTTTCACTTTTCTTCTCATGTAAACATTTTTATGATATCCTTTGAAAATTTATTTTTTGAATGAGTAGATGTAAGAGAACGAAATTTACCAGTAAAGCTCCAGGTAATAAAATATGAAGGAAGTTTGACAGTGTAACTACTTATTGTTAATTTTGGTGTTTTTCACATTCGTTTCTGGTTTTCATTAGGGAATCAAGACCGAAAATAAAGACTGAGAAAGAAGTATACCTTATAGCCAGTGTGCCCATTATCTTCGTAGCTCATTAAAGGTATTAATCATAAAATAAAATTGACAAAAATCACCCAAGATATTGGTTTCTGAGCATAGAATGGAAGAGTAAAATTTGGAAGCAGTTGAAATACCACCCTAAATAGTACCTATATCTTGGAGATAGTCTGCAACCTATTCCTCCCTATTTCCGACTATCGAAACGCAATGATATTTAGTTACAGCACCATTAGAAATACAAGAAAATCGTTAACATCCGAAAGTTCTTAGAAAATATCTAAAGGCTATAGGTTTCAATTGAAACAGTGATAATAAGGCGATTTCATGTTGTAATCTTGATAAAATTAGGCGGTTTTAGAAATTTAAGTTCCAGTTATTTAGGACAACATTCAGGTTGAATGAAATCAGTGCTTGTACACTGATAAATATAGTGTTACTAATTGGGAATTTTCAATCCAGGATTTATGCTGGTAAGCATTTACCATTAAGACGCATCTGGGTCCTAGATGAAATTTACGGGATCTCAGAGGTTCTATTTGAACTTAGCCGATATCACAGTCAGAAATTCTACCACTGAAGCAATTATAGAGTTGGACCGTACAATCAGATGGTAGAAAATGGATTTTTGAATTCCCGAGTGTTAATTAAAGTCAGCCGATGTAGGAATTCATTGCGGCTACTTGTTTGTTTGACACAGTTTTGCTGTAATGAATGATACACGGGCTCTTATCTCTTTACTAAAAAAAATCTTAATAGTTTCTGATATTACGACTGACAAGTTAATCGATTTAGAAAGTATTGAAACTAAAACAATAGCAAAAAGGTATATTTTCTTTGCAGCTTTTAAGTTTCGCTAGGAGCGAAAGACAAACAGTTCATCATCACAATTCTTTTTCTGGGTTCACTGAACAGTAAATAATCTTCCTGCAAAACAAGAAATACTGCACTAAATCTGTCGATTTCTTGATAAATCACTCATCTGTTAACCTAGGGATGACTGTAATAAGTCTTATAATTTTGTGTGCATGAAGAGACAATCAAGTCACCAAGGTTTTCATTGATGACAGAGGAAGTGATAAAAGTTCTGCAAGGATTTAATATTCTTTAGAAACCTATCTGAAATGATCTTGAATATAAATGTAATTTTTCAAGTTGGTATTCATCATGAAGTAACATCAGCTGGATGAAAGTTGGAAACCTGGAAGCACTGGATAGCTGTTTCGTCCTTGCATTGGGTTCTTCAGCAGTGCGCGTCCAGACTCCTGGCCTTCAGGTTCCGTGACCAGCATGTTACCATTGAGGTGCTGGGTCGGAATCTAATGGTCCATATTTCCAAGATGGCTAGTTCAACCCCTGCTGGGGTCGTCGACGCGCACTGCTGAAGAGTTCCATACTAGGAAGAAACAGCTGTCTAGAGCTCCTAGGTTACCAGTGTTCCTCCAACTGATATCAGTGTACGATGAATATCAATTTGAAAAATCTCTTAATCCCACAAACCCCCAAATTCAATAATTATAGTAGAATAGGTGGAATGCGTGACGAGGAGTTTTTAACTATGTGCCACTGTGGCACACCTTTATTGAGACGGCTTCCTTTGATATGACGACTGTTCACTCGCTAAAGTTGAGAAATTAAGCATCCAGTTTCTTAGTTTTATGAGTTTTTCATTCGGTAGGTAGCATTGCGGTCATTTCTTACTTTCAGAAGTCTCTATTCCACTCTCTATAGGCTATTAATGTCATGATACTAGTTTTATAAATGATAATGTAAGATGATGTATTCGTTGCAACCATAAATACTACCAGAAAGAAAGAAAAAACAATGAAGGTGGACATCTATATCACAGTGTAAAGGTTGAAGGTAGTAATTGATTTCATACTGATTTTTACCACGAGGTGATTTCAATAAGAAACTACTAAGAGTGATATAGTGATTCATAACTTTTAGACCTCAGTTTGAGAAACCAAAAGCTAAACGGTCAGATTTTCATAGTTCCTCTTTAAACTTTAATTTATTTATTGCAGAAACGAAAAATTCAACTAATAATCTGTATAATCCTAGGATAGAATGGGAATACAAAGAGGGAACTAAAGACAAATATAAATGAAATATAAAATGAAGGGAACGGGGTTAGTAGAGTACTTATTCTTACCCGTAAAGGTTTATAGTAATGTTGTCTTGGTCTTACGTGATCTTTAGAAAGTATATCCGTCCCAATGCTTTTGAGTTGAAGGTACATTGTATGATTCAAACAAATTTATTTTGCTATTTCTCAAAAAAAACAAACGAAACAATAAAGACTGATTAATGTTCATTTTTAACATTTTACATTTTCCAGGTTGGTTGTGATGTTACATCATCAAAACGTTCAATGATTGATTGTCTACGATCTCGTACAGCTATAGAACTATCAAATGCGGCGAGTCAAACAAGAATTCATAGACCTAATTGGCTGACAAAACCATGGGCGCCAACTTTGGATTATGATTTTATTCAAGACACACCAAATTATCTGTGGAATAATGGTCTTTATACTCATATACCGGTAAACATTGAGTCTAACTAATTATCGTAATCTTCTTATACTCATGATAATATAGAGTACTGAGGTTGACAACAGTTATTCACATACTGGAAATAAGTCTTGCAGCATAGACTTACGCTACCTGTTAATATTGTACAAAAAAAATAGCGAAATACACTTAGTAACTTTGTGCACATTCATGCAGTAAGCAGCGAGCCACACATACAATATATGAGGGATAGTGATACTGCCTCCCTGCAAAATCTCGGTAGTGGAGCGGTGCTGAAACCCACCATCCAGTGGTTGAAAGTCATCTCCCCAAACCGATTAGCCACAGTTCCACTGTAGTATTGTGTGCATAATATATTAGTGAGAATAAAGAAAATATGTACCATTAAGGCTTTTATCGAAGAGTGATGTTTTATTTGTGTCTAAGTTTAGTTAACCTCGCCTGGCAAAAACCAACAAGTTGACAGGAGAAGCAGTGAAAACAGGGATTAAAGTGAACTTAGAGAAGATGGAGGTCATGAAGATAACCAACCAACAACATGAACAACAGGCGCCAATCACCATCAACACGAGAAACCTAAACGAAGTCGTCTCTCTCACCTACCTACCTAGGTAGGCAGTATCATTTCAACTACAGGTGCAACAGACATAGATGAGAATGTCAAAGCCAGGATCGGAAAGACAGCAAGACAGGCCTTCCTTCATTATTCTGAAATAATCACCGCAGAGATCTACTGCACTGCACTCAGCATAAAGCGTGAACAACATCAGGATTTTCAACACTAATCCAGTCAAGTAAGTCGGTACTTCTATATGATAGTTGAGAGATTTGGCGGCGCCTTAGAAAAAGCATTCTCGACTAACTGCAGATATACATGAACAGCCACCGCCTATGTTCGATACTGAAGATCGAATGGCCAGAAAGAATAAGCAACAAGGAATTTACTGTGGCCACGAACCAACCAAGAACCTATCGCCCACTAAACATGCAGTAGAAGAAAGTGAAGGTGGATTGGATTTGACTTAGACTAGGAAGACAGTTTGGGGACATCGCGGACCAGGCCAGGCACTCGAGTTGGGCATCCGAGGTTAAGATTTTTAACCTTCTTAGAGTGCTTCATCATCAAATTGGTTTAGTTTTCTCTGACTGAGAACTCCTGTTCGAAAGACTAGGTAGGTTGAAGCGATTCCATGAAAAACTGATGATGGAGTACACTTAAACGCTTGATAAGTTCAATCATAGACATGTTTAATTAAGATGAATTGAATTGACTAAAAAGACGCTGATTTAAGGCTGTCCTTCAGAAGTATCAATGTTATCACCTGTTATAACTGATCCAAGAAACAATATAATGATACTAAGGATTACACCTTACCCCTATCGCCTGGAATATCTGACAACTTTCTGTGTTTAATATGTGTTCTAGAAACAGTAAGTTACTTATGTTTGATTATGTCAGTATTTCTGTAGCTGATAGGGTGTCTGAGGATAAGTTGTTTAAAATGAGGAATACTACCGATCACAATGTTAACTCAGTGAACGACGATTAATCAGCTACACTTTAATCTATTGCCAAATGTTGTTCCACTATAGTTAAGTGAAAAGTAAGCCCTACAGACTACTCATAATTAATTAAAAAATGGCTGTAGCTTATATGTTTTCAGTTATCGAATTATGAAGTACTACACGGTAACTTTATATTGAGGTGGGTGAATAATGAAGTCGATGTGAAATGAATTTCTCACGCTTCAAAGTTAAACATAAAAGAGATTTATTCTCTTTTTCTAGACTTTCAGCTAGACTTAGAGCCGCTTACGACAATATAAATTCTACCAACGCTTATACCTACAATTAACACAATCTTAGTGTATAAAAACAAATGCGAAAACTTATCCCTAGTTTAGCCAACAGTAGTGAACGAAATCAAATGGGGTGAGGGTAAGTATCTTTTCAGGTGATCCATGCCGTCTTTTGCTTAATAGCAAGTAATCTGTGAATATTATCATTCTTGAAGTAAAGTGAAACATCAGCTATAGAGCAAGTGAAGACCATGAGACAAAGGACAACTCACCAGTTTTTATCCATTACACCATGCAGAATGAATGGATTCCCCTCAGAATCTCTGTGTTAGATGTATGTGCTCTTAAGTGACTTGCTTCCAAAGCTCTAATGACAGTCTGTGACTTGTGCTGTCAGTGAAGTCGGGTTTGAAGCCAGATGCCCATCAATGACACTCAATGATGGTTACACTAGATCATAAGTTGGCAGAAGCTTTAAAACATAGTCTATCAAATTTTAAATCAGTAGCTGAATGAGAACCTACAAACAGCGAAGACTGAACGTCTCGGTTTTAATCACGTACGAATTCACAGGCGAACACTCCTAAGAAGTCACAAACAAAGACGGATCGCCTGTATAGTGTTACCTGGATTTCGCAGTTCTTTGGTTAATGATGAATACTTTGTGCGCATTCAGTTCCAAACAAGCTTCTTAACTGGACAAAGAGATCTAGTTTACAGCGTTCAACTTCCTCTGGAATACTTCTGATAGTACTCTTGGATTCTAGTCAACTGGAAGATAGATATTTAACTTTGAATTTCATTGGCACATTTAAACAGTGCAGTACCAAAGTATTTACCATTCTGCTTGAAAGATAATAGTCTTTAATGAAGATAAAAGTAACAATTACCAATGGAACGTTAAATCAGTATTCAAAATTCAATCTCTTCCTTGAATCACTTTTGCTATCTTTGTCTTACTCAAGGTTATAGGTGGTTTGGCTGTGGATGATGGTGCTTTTCATGCGTTAGCCTCAATCTACCAACTGGGAACTACATCAAATTGGCATTTAATAAATAAAACGAAAGGTGTTCATACTAACTCTCAGTTACCCGATCCAAATACTGAATTTTCTGGGATGTCAATTGATCTAATGCGTGCAGGTTTCATGGAGATGGTTAAACGTGATTTTGCTCTGGTAAGTTAAATTATCTTTGAATTTTCGTGATTTAATGAGGGCCAACCAGTTTTTATTCACTACATTTGGTTCATAGGTCATGTGTTAAAGAACAAAATTCCTTTATATCTTCACAAGGTTACTACTCAATTATTATAGAGTAGGCAAAGTAATTCGCGAAACTTTAGCCCTAGTTAATAAAATGAGAAAATTTCAGACAAAACATGGGTTACTTAAAAAATATTGATGGATAGTAGCTAGCAGTGGAAGAAGGGTCGCTCGTTACCATTCTTTTCATTATTTGAGTCATAAACTACATGATGGTCTTGTTCATAGCTCATACACTAACATGGACCGATCAGTTCAGTCCAGTATAATAATGAACAGGAATTTACAAGCATTAACAAATAATATGTGATGCCCATTGCACAGAAGGTGGCTCTTGAAACTTATTGACCTAATGGATAATGTTTTTGCGTTTGAAGCAACATCGGAGTCTTAGTGCAAACATCTTTTACTGGAACTCAGGTATATCTAGTTGACGAGTCTGGAATAAACTGAAACGCTTCTTTGGGACTCTACATCTAGCCACACCATTGAGCATAAAACATCAAGCAGACTGCATATAATTAACTCTTCCAGAAATGAAATTTCTTTTAATTATCTGTACAAGTTTTTCCATTCATATAACGGAAAAAGATTGTCTGAAATTATATTAAACCCATTAGGAGGACGAAGACATAAGTGAAGATGGATCGTTGATGATTATTCGTAAAAACTATAACACTTCACTTCAGAATAAACAAGTTTTAAAGATAACCATTAGCATATAACAACAATAAAGTTATTAGATCGTAAAGTTTAACACTGAAACTCGTTTTCCAGCCGATAATATGGTGGTGGGAAGACATACTGATTCAACGTAATAATAATAATAATAGTTTTATTTCAAAAAATATGTATGACAATATGGAATTCTCAGTATGTAATTTTCGACAAATTCATTCCCAGAACACTACTTTCAGACAAAACGCTTACTGCATCCAAATGATGTTAATCATAACAGTATTGAAGGCAATAAAGTGAAATAGTCAGGTGATTCTGGATGGGCATCTGGTCCATAATAAAGAATTAACCGAAGTGTAAGCGTAATTTTGATGGTGGTTCATTCAGACGGTACAAATATCTGCAACTCAAGCTAAGCATCTGATGAATAGAAATTTGATATACGTTTTTGCACCGAAAAGTCCATTTACAAATGACGTAACATTTTTTTTTCTGCTTTGTTCCTGACTCGAGAAACCGAGAGTTGGAAACAGTTCAAAAATGTGCAAGAGTACATGATACATTCAGAGGACATATTCATATGATTAAAATAAATTGAAAGGAAAGAATTTGATGAAAACTTTTTGATGGATAAATTTAGTGGCTCATTGTTCAAGTAGGCCACCGTGAAGTTGGTTACGCTTCAGTGACCAATCGGTGAACCTAATCCAATCCTACAGGAGATCAGTTACAGCCTGAATAGCTCAGAGGTAGCGTCTCTGACTGTAGCACTGTGTGATGCAGGTTTGAATCTCAGGGGGACATCAGTTCTGTACCGGGTTGCAGATACGCCTTGTTGACGAGTGCCAAAATGCTCTAAACCTAGGTCGGAGAGGGCCTCCTACCGACTGTCTCCACCGAACTAACTGAGATATTGATCGCTGTAGCTTGTGAAGAAGGGATGAAATTGCCACTCACTTTCTTCTGAAATACAATTGTGCCTTTTATTACAAGAAGAATCTAGCCCATAAACTTCTGATCATTCGCATTAAAATTCACTTATTTCACTGTAAAAGGGTTATTCTGTTTCATGATGACAAAGGCTACATTCTATATTATTTTTAACTTTGATTTATGTAACTGGGAGTAATAAAAGTAGAACAGAATAATTTCTTGAGGATTTTTTCGATTATTTTTCACTATCGTGTGTTTTGTACATTTAATCTAACCGTTTATCAGGATATAAAAGAACAGTAAACATGAAACAAAGTCATATGCAGTGCAATTTAAGGATACTATTATCAAACTCTTCTTCTTGACCTCTTTTGATCACTCGGTATGGAAGGAAAAACTTCAGAAGTCTAAATAAATTATATATTTCTTAAATTATCGTTTTAGTAACCATACACACTTGAGTTTATTAATGTGCACCAATTAACTTGCCTTTTGTCGATGCTTACCTATCGACAGTACTAGTGTTTACCGATGCGCTGATCTCCCCACCTTTTCTACTGTTTACCTACTTACCGATCTAGCTACCTATTTAGTTCATTTTAGGCGAGCGACACAAATTACTAGGTAAGTAACCAAATGAATATCAGACTACTTCCATACATTTTGTCTAATATATAAAGTTCATTCTTCTTTAGAATTTGTCGTTCAATATTGTCAAATTTATGAATCTTATCACTATGCCGAAAATTTATACTAGTCGCTGTCTTCTATACTCTGGTCCATTTTATTCTCTTATATTCTGTTCTAGATCTGTTCAACTTTTATTTCTAACAAGTTGATCATTTCCATAGGTATATATGTGTATACATTGCAGTTGATGACAATTCTAGTCTCCTTATGAAATAAAATGAGGCATAATGAAATTCCGGATATTATTTAACAACTAAAAGCGAAGTCATATTGAGTTTACTGCTAACTGAAGTCTGTTAACTATCTTTTCAGTACTGACACATTCAGATGTACTAAGAATTGAACGACAATTATATTCTGGTGACATTATAACATACTAATTCTGTAACAAAAAAGGATATGACGACCGATACTAACTAGTTGTAATTTTTTCAACCATAATATTGAATAACTTGGGTTACAGTTTCTAATCAAGTATCGGATATCTTAAATATGTTGACAGATCTTGATATCAAGTATCAAACATCAGCTTATTACATCCATCCATCGAATATGTTCAAGCTACTTTAATAATCTACTATTTCCACAGTATTGAACTGTTAAGTATCACTTATCACAGTATCGTTGATACAAAATATAAACTATTGATGCGTACATTTTTCATTACTGTCCCCTTCTGAGTTTTGAATAAAAAGTATTTGAAATTTTTTTAAAATTCTATCGCTCACAAACTCTAAAGTTGCATCTTTCGGCTAACATATTTTTTGGTAGATTCCTATGATATTTTAATTAAAGTATGTAATTGTTTCCTTTCCATTCACTTTATCTATAACTGAATAGAAGCCATGAAATGAAATAAAATTTAATCGTTTCTAAAATTTACTTCGTAAATGTCATCCTCTACACTTTCATGATCATCTTCAAGAAGAAATAGTACATGTATTCTACAACGACCCAAAGGCTTAGTTGTAATTTTTGTACAATATAAAGCAGGAGTGGATTATATAATAGGACATCTCTTATAACCTTTATATGGTCAACAAATTATTTGTAATCTTAGGTTGGTAGAGGTTTGATTTTTAAGATACTGTTCATAACGGACTAACATCAATTGGAGAACCAATGAGAATTTGAGGCCGGTGAACAGGTGTTTCGCTCTAAGACGGGACTTCTCAGCAGCACGCATCTATGAGCCCCCCGCCCTCCTTTAGGGATCGAAATCAAAATCTTCAAATGTCATGGTGAGCGTCACTGGCTCGGGGTTCAGTAATCCACGGTCTCCTACTTCTAACCCAATGGCTGAATGAATAACGCGTTCATCTTGAAGGTTCTGAGTTCGATCCCGGAAAGGTCGTTAGTGGTAAATGCTACCTTAAAAACAACAACAATTATCCGCTGTTTAGACTATTGATCTGATTCTTGGAATGATAACCACTGTTTTTCAAAATTTTTGATTCCATACTGAACACTCTTGTCTGCTTGTCTGTGAGTCAGACCATAAAATAAGTGGAGGTTGATAGGAAAACTATGTGTTTTACGGGAGTAATGTGAACAGTGAAACAACTGAATAGTTTTTCACCTTGCATATCATAGTTCAAACTATCTTTATTTGGTCAAATACCTGTTCGGTTGAAGAGGTTTAAAAAATTAGAAATATATTGCGAAACCTATTCGGATATATTTCTTAGCTTCCATAATGAATTTCTGAGCAATCTGTAGTAAAGTATGATTACTCTCTCATTCCCTTAGTGAACATGATTTGGTCCAGGTTTATTTCTTTTAATTACATAACACCTAATTCATTTATTGTTATTTTTTTCTTCCTTACATTTCTTAGTCCTCTGTATTATTATTATTATTATTTGTCCCTTGGGTTCCTAATGGAACATAGGGCGTCAGTAGCACGTCTCCAATGCGCTCTGTTCTCTGAAATTTTTCAACCTGGCTCCATGACAGCCCACAAGCTCTCATTTCCTCTTCGCACGATCTCCTCCATGTCACCATCACTTCCCAAGAACAACTCGTCGCTTCCCATCTGGGTTCCACTCGAGGGTCTGACGCGTGGTGTCCCCAGTCGGCCTTCTCAGTGTATGCCCAATCCATTTCCACTTCCTGCTTCTGCATATTTGTTAAGTGATAGGTTCTTGGTTGGTTCGTTCCCAGAGCTCCTTGTTGCTTATTCTTTCTGGCAATCCATCTGAGTTTCAGCAAAGAGCCAGTGTAGGCAGTTGTTGATGAATGTCTGTAGTTTGTTGGAAATCCCTTTCGTAACGCGCCAAGACTCTCAACCATACAGAAGCACTGATTTGACTGAATTGGTGTTGAAAATCCGGATCTTGTTCACACTTTATGCTGAGTGGAGTGCGAAGATCTCCACACTGGTTTCAGGTTAATGAATGCCTGCCTATCTTCCTTTTCCGATTCTGACTTTGACATCCTCATCTGTGCCTGTGCCGCCTGTAGTTGAAACAGTGCTGCCTAGATAGGTGAAGGAGGCTACTTCCTTCAAGTTTCTCCCGTTGATGGTCATTGGAGCTTTCTGTTGTTGTTGTTGGTGGTGGTGGTGGTGTTGGTTGGGTATCTTCATCGCCTCTGTTTTCTCTACGTTCACT